GTTTGCCGTTGGCCTCAGGTCTGCCGCACGATCCGGCGCGACGTGCGCGCCATCGCACAGTACGCTGCGCTCGCGCAAAACTACTCGACGCCGACGATCGCCCGCGGCGGGCCGGGGCCGCGTCGTGAGCAGCCCGTGCCCGGCCGCCTCCTCATGCATGCCCCCCTGCACAGGCGAGCCCACGTTCGAGCTGCCCGACGGCTTCCGCCAGCTGCGCGCCGTGCTCGCCACCTCCGCCGCCGTAGCCACGGAGGTCTCCGAGGCGGCGAAGAAGAAGGCGACGGGGGGACAGGACGCGTGAGGCCGCTCTTTGGCGGCGCGTGCCGTGTACCGCTGAGTTGGGTGCACAGCGTTTCGACCGACGATCCGCATCCCCAGTTTCACTTTCTTGCTTCTACTGCTGCCAGCGCAGCCGACGTTTGTCGTTTCGTGAATCGCGACGGTGTCTCTTGTTCAGTGGTCGTTACCGTTGAAACACGGGCGTTTCACAAAAAAGAGACGTTTCACACGCAAAAAAGAGATAGCGAGCAACCTCTCGCGTGTACGGCTTTATTACGCGCCGTGGTGTGTCCCCCATACGGCTCTACCCTCTACGGACTACGCGCTTTACTCTACGCGGGCGGCGGGGTGCGGAGGAGCCCTGCCCCTGAGTTGCACAGGGGTTGTGCGCCGGGCCCTCCTGCGTCCTGCTCGGCTCCAGCCACAGTAGACAAGTCTTGTCATCAACAGAGTAGAAGGGTCTGACCTCGGGGGGACGATGTGACCAAGCGCTGGTAGCGTGGTTTAACCTCACACCCATGGTCTCACAGTGACTGTGCCGGCAGTCGCTGACAGTGTCGCTCACACAAGCCGCAGCACAAGTGACTGAGGGACAGTGAGGGCGAGCCCATCGCTGTGACAGCTGTGGCAGCCGCACAGTGGGCTGTGCCATCTGTGCAGAGCGTGTGAGCAGCAGAGGAGCTGCTTTCCAGGCTTCAGGAGCAAAGAGCTGCATGCCACCGAAGGCGCTGTCATGTGTGAGTCGAGGTTCACCGAGCGCGGCGCAGTCGGGGGACGCCGTCGCCGACGAGCGGATGGTCGGATTGACTCTCCGCTAAGACGGCTACACGCACACGAGCCGCGGTCGTGTAGCCGTCATAGCGGCGAGGCGCGGAGCCGTCTGTGGCGAAGGGGACGCGTCCCCCGATTTCCTCAACTCAGCCTCCACGCCCTCTGTGCCGACAAGCCGTAAGCGTCAACCGTCAAAACGTCACACTGCAGCGCCCCCCGGGGCGGCGGGGGGAGGCCCGATGGGCCCTGGCCCCTGGCCCCTGCACGCACCACGGCCCCGGGGAAACCGCCCATGGCCATGCACAGACAGTGAGACAGAGACACCAGCCGACGCGACCCCCCGCAGTCCCCAAGAGTCGGACATGATATTGCCTAGATACGCGTGTCCCCGACTCTTGCCGGTCCATGCTCGTCCAAGTCCTGCTCCACAGAAATACAGTAGCACAGTCGCCCCGAGGGCCATGCCCGAGGCACACGCTCCTGACTCGAGTGGCTCCTGTCCTCGAGATCTCGTCCTCACGAGGCTCCGGACGGTACCGTCTGAGGAGACGCCGCTCGCTTCTGTTTCTTGGGGGTTGGGCGCTGCATCCACATCTCGATCTTCTTGGGAAGCAGCTCTTCGGACTGTCCGTCTCCGTGGCCCAGGCAGCCGTCGCGTCCAGGGCCCCAACTCCAGACGGCGCCGTCCGCGGTAGCGGCGAGGCTGTGCTCGAATCCGGCCGACACGGCGACGACGCGCTGGCCCGCAAAGGCCTCGATCTTTTGCGGGCGTTGCAGGTCCTTCTGGTCACCGTGGCCAGAGCACATGCCGTCGCCCCAGCTCCAGACGGCGCCGTCCGCGGTGACGGCAAGGCTGTGATGATTGCCAGCCGACGCAGCGACGACGTGCTGGCCAGCCAGGCCCTCGACCTTCTCCGGCGGGTGTTTGTTGCCCCACGACCAGACGGCGCCGTCGGCGGTGACGGCGAGGCTGGTGTGGTTGCGCGTCGACACAGCGACGACGCGCTGCCCAGCAAAGGCCTCCATCTTCTTCGGCAGCGGGTGGCGCTGCTCATCACCATGGCCGAGCACGCCATTCCATCCAACGCCCCAGCTCCACACGTCGCCTTCGGCGGTGAGAGCGAGGCTGTGGCAGAGGCCCGCCGACACGTCGACGACGCGCTGCCCCGCCAGGCCCTCGGTCTTCTTGGGCAGCAGCTGGTGCTGCTCGTCGCCGTGGCCCAGCTTGCCAAAGGTTCCATGGCCCCAGCTCCACACAGGGCCGTCCGCGGTGATGGCGAGGCTGTGGTTGCCTCCAGCCGACACAGCGACGACGCGCTGCCCAGCAAAGGCCTCGATCTTCTTGGGTTGCAGCACGTCCTCCTTGTCGCCGTGGCCCGAGCGGATTCCACAGCCCCAGCTCCAAACGCTGCCGTCGGCGGCGATGGCAAGGCTGTGGTGGATCCCCGCCGACACGCTTTCCGCGTGCTCGCCTCCGAGCAGCGATGGGAGTGCTGTCGGCGACGTGAGCCGCGTCACGCCCTCGCCGTGCCCGAGCAGCCCAGCAGCCGGGTCGAGCTCCTCCTCCTCGTCGCTGCTGATCTCGGTCGCCTCGTTGCCAGACGAGAAGAGCCGGCCCTCGCCGTCGATGAAGACGCTGTGCTGCCCTCCCGCCGCCACCGACGCACGAAGAAGGGTTGCCTCGGACTGCATCATCAGCCGGTTGAGAGGGCAGCGTGTTGCTGCTGCTGCTGTTACCTCCGGTCCACACGGGTACTGCCGTGCGTTTTGACAACAAGGCCCCACGGTACACGGCGTCTCCACACTGGGCGAGTCAGAGGAGAAAGAGAATTGCACGAGCAACTCCCTCGCGCAACACTGGGCACGGGACTGGCGCGCACTGGCACTAACACAGGAAGAGAAAGCGGATACGAAACAAGAACACACAACGCACTCTCTCACATGATGACAAGCGATCCCACGTCAGCGATTGTGGGGACTACATGATTACACGAAGGGTGGGGGCCCGTCCGCAGAGCTAGGCGGCGCGGGCACCCCCCACTGGGGCCGAGCGTAAGAAGCCGTTTGCCACTTGCAGAGAAAGAAAAGAATTTTAAAGAAAAGAAAAAGCACACTTCGATCTAAAAATGCCGCCAAAGTCGCTGCTCACCGCTCTCCTCGCAGCCGGTGCCGCTGCCCTTCACCCGCCGCTCCTCGCCTCCCGCGCCGTGCCGCGCGCTCGTCCTTCCGCCGCCGCGTTCGATGAGTACGGCGACGGCGAGGGCCTCTCCGATGGTGAGGGCCTCTCGATTGTGTCGGCGGCGGATGCGGCGGCGGCGGAGGCTGCGCCGCTCGACGCAGTCGACTCGCTGCTTGAGGAGTGGCAGGAATACGCGGCGCTCTCCGACACCACCGACGATGGCGTGCCGACGGTCGAGCGGCAAGAGGCGATGCTCTCGACGTGGCGCAGGATGATTTCGGACCGGGAGGAGGCACACGCAGTAGCAGCGGCGACACACAGCACACGCCTAGCAGCGGCCGACTCCCCACCACACACTTTCACGCCGAGCCCCGTGCGCCTCACCAGGCGCTCCGCAAGGAGACGAGGCGGGAAGGGCGGCAGAGGCTGTCTGCGGGCTGGATCCCAGGACACCTCGCGAGCTGGCCGCTGGCCGGCCGCGGCGCGTCAAAGCCCAGCGAGGCGAAGGCGGCGGCGGCGGCGGCGGCGGCAGAGGTGGCGGAGGAGGAGGCGTCCAGAGCTGCGGAGGAGGAGGCGGAGGACGAGGACTCTCTCTCTCTCTTGTGGAGTGTGGAGGGCGAGAGCGGAAGCCTTTTCCTGACCCTCCCCGGACCCCTCGGTGCAGGACTTCATCTTCGAGTGGCAGCAGCACACCGAGGCGCGGCCGCGCAATGGGCCTTGCACTCTGCACGCCGCGGGCCTCCTGCATGCCTCACAGGACGCGGAGATGCGAGGGGCTGCCTTGCCCTCGCCCCTCCAGAGCGTGCGCGGGGAGACGTCTCCCTCGCCCTCGCCTCACGTCCCCTCCCCCCGTGGGCAGGCTCTGAGGAGGCAGGCGGCAGAGCGCGAGGCGACGACGGAGCGTGACGCGGCGGCTGCAGCGGCGGCGGCGGAGGCGGCGGCGGCGGCGAGGGAGGGCCGCGCCACAGCGCCGGAGCCGACCGCTCCTCCCTCGGCTGCCATCTACGCTCCGCCAGCCAGCTCGGGTGGCGGCGCGGCAGAGGCGCGAGACTCGCAGAGACTCGCAGAGATGTGCAGAGACTCGCAGAGATGTGGCGAGATGCCCACCTCTCACGCTGCCGCAGCTAGGGGCGCGCCGCCGCTCGGGACGGGTCTTTTAGTATACCTCGGCTGCACCTCGGCTGCACCTCGGCTGCACCTCGGCTGCACCTCGGCTGCACCTCGGCTGCACCTCGGCTGCACCTCGGCTGCACCTCGGCTGCTCTTCTGTCAGGCGGGAAGCTGCATTGGGCTCGACCTCGGCACCACAAACTGCGCCGTCGCCGTGCTCGTCGGTGGCACGCCGCGCCTGATTCCGGTCGGCGATGCTGCCAGCGGCGGCGGCGGCGGCGGCGGCGGCGGCGGCGGCGGCGGTGGCGTCTTCCCTTCGCAGGTGTCGTTTGTGCCGCTCGGGGACAGTGCGTCTGCGCAGCGGGCCGCCGCGGCTCTGGCGGGGCGCTCCTCCCGCGCCTCCGCCGCCCCCGCCGCCTCCGGCTCCTCCGCGGCCGCGCGGCGGCCAGTCGTCGCGCCCGACGCGTCGGTGCGCGTGCCGGTGGGGTAGGCGGCTCGGCGCTTCCAGGACACGTCCTAGACATGTCCGAGACATGTCTCAGGTGCGCGTGCTGGTGGGGGAGGCGGCTCGGCGCGCCGTCACGCACAACACCGCCTCCTCTTTCGCGTCGACCAAGCGGCTCATCGGGCGCACCGCGTCGGCGGAGGAGCTGCGCGCCCTCGCCGCCCTCGAGGTGCCGTACCGGCGGGCTGGCTCGGGCGAGATCCTGCTGCCCTGCCCCGCGCTGCGCCGCGCCCTGTCGCCGGTCGACATCTCGGCGGAGCTCGCGCGAAAGGTGGCGGCGGAGTGGATTACTTGTGAGCCATGGATTCCTGACAATCGGTAGGCGGAGCTCGTGCGGGAGATGGCGGCGGCGGCGGAGGGCTTCCTCGGCAGGCCGCCCTCGCACGCCGTCGTGACGGTGCCCGCCTACTTTGCTTAGACTTTGAATCATGAATTGAAGTAGAACTACTTAGAACGAATCAAGTAGGTGCCCGCCTACTTTGGCGCCGCCGAGCGCGCCGCCACCCTCACCGCCTGCCAGCTCGCCGGCCTGCCAGAGGTCTCGCTGCTGCGCGAGCCCGAGGTGCGCCTTGGGGAGAGATGGGGAGAGATGGGGAGAGATGCGCGTTGCCGAACACCCGCCTTGGACAGCACGCCTTGGAGCGAAACGACACGACAGCCACGCACCTCTCACCCCGCACCTCCCGCCCTCGCCAGGCGGCGGCGCTCACCTACGCCCTCGACGCGCGCAGCAGCCAGCGGCGGGGCCCGTCGGGCGCGTCTGCACCGCCGCGGGAGCGGCTCATGGCGTCTGAACGTAGAATGCCACCGGGGATCGCACGGTTCGCTTGGGGGACAAACATTGAGCCACACACGCTGCATGATCCCGTCGGCCACCGCCTGCCCCCCCCCCCCCCCCCCTTGTACTCCCTCCTTGGAGGGCTTCCACTTGGGAGGAGGCACGTTCGACGTCTCGATCGTCGACATCGGCGGGGACGGCGGCGGCGGGATCGTCGACTTGGTTCGCGTGGTTGCGACGGCCGGCGACCCGCGGCTCGGCGGCAACGACTGGGACGAGGCGGTCGCCGACTGGCTGGCGGGCGATGCAGCCGAGATGCAGCCGAGATGCACGCGAGATGCAGCCGAGATGCAACCGAGATGCAGCCGAGATGCAGCCGAGATGCAGCCGAGATGCTGTCGAGATGCAGCCGACATGCTGTCGAGATGTTGTCGAGCTTACGCCGAGCCTGATCCGAGCTTGCGCCGAGGCGCAGGCGGCGCAGTTCCTCGCGGAGCACGGCGGCGCGGTGCGGCGTGGCCGCCTCTCTGGCTTCGCGCGGCGGCGGCTGCTCGACGCGGCGGAGGAGGCCAAGGTTGCTCTCTCGGCCGCCACGTCGGTCGAGGTGTGCGTGCCTCGGCTGCACGGCCCGCTCGGCCTCAACGTCACTCTCTCGCGCCGCAAGTTCGAGGCGACGCGCTACCGCCCGCCCGCGGCAAAGCGATGGCAGGTTCCGCGACGCGTCCGCGACACGCCGGCTCTAGGCCATCTGCCGGCCGCTGCTGCTGCGGCTGGTTCCCGCGATCCTCGACGTGGCGTCGACCGCCGGGGTGACCCTCTCGACCGATTTGGGCACCCTCGCCAAGGGCCGAGCTGTAGCCGAGACGCAGCCGAGATGCAGCCGAGATGTTGCGGCGGCACGGCACCCTCGCAACGGCCCCGGCCATTCTCTCCCCGCGCGCGCTGCGAGCGAATCTGGCGCACCCGCTGCCCGCTGCCTTACCGCCGACGGGCTGCCGACAAGGCGACCCCTCGCTCGCGCCGCAGCGCACCCGCCGCTGGCAGCGCCTCGTCTCGTGGCGCTGGCAGCGCGCCGGCCGCCGCGACGAGGAAGGGGCCGAGGCAGGCGCAGGCGCAGGCGCAGGCGCGGCCCCCGCTTCGGCGCCCATCGACCGGATCGTGCTCGTGGGCGGCGCGACGCGCATGCCGTGCATCGGCCGTTTTCTCCGCCGCATGACAGGTGCGGGTACAGAGCGGGACACACTCCTCCGACCACCTCGCGTCTGCTGTCTGATTCGCTTGCTGTCAGCCCCCCTCAGCCAGTTCCTTCTCCCCGCCGCAGGCCTCAAGGTCAAGCCGTCCCTCCAGCCCGAGGAGCGAGGGCGCGGCGCGGTCGGCGGCATGGCACGTATCCGAGCCTGAGCCGAGACTGGTCCGGGGCGTGTAGGAGGCTGTCGCCCTCGGCGCGGCCATACAGTCCGACATCCTCGCGGGCGGCAGCGACCTCGGCTTGCGCGTCATCAACCCCTTCTTCCAGGTGCCACCGCCGGCCACCGGCCGCAAGAAGGCGGCGGCGAAGAGCTAGACGGTTTGGGTCTCCACTCTCTGTGGTCCTCCAAAAATGTGCGCGCGTGTATGCCCATGTACGTGGGTCAGGGTCTGAGAGTCTGTCGTGCGCGGTTGATGTGCCGCTGGCCCCGGGGGCGGGGAGAGCGGAGTTGGAGTTTAATGAAAATCCAAAAACACACTCTCCGAACGGCACGGAGCGCTTCAGAGCCTTTTCGTTCACCAGCCTGTGTGTAGTTTCAGCGCCTCGGGAAACACGGCTAACAAGGGTCAAGGGGGCGCACTGCAGAACCAGATATACGTCTGCAGTCTTCCCCCTGCAACACACTCACTCTTTTGTCTCTTCCAACCGCACACGGCCGCACATCGCACAATGATTTTTACGAATACCGTGGGAAACAGGGTGACAGAGATCAGAGAGGCTTGTGCCGACAGCCATGAACAAAGATTCTTGCCTGGCACGGGTTGCCTGTCAAAGAGCACTTGGAGCACTTGCTTGGAGTGCAGTTGGTAACCACAATTGAAACGCTCGGCACCGGGCACCGCCTCGTATACAAAATGCGCCTGCGGGCGGACCCTTACAGATCACAGATCACAATTGTACAATTCTTGTCCGGGTGTCCAGACTAGTAGTCGAGCGCGTCGGAGAGGTGACACCGACCGTTGCGAGTTCGGTCCGATTCCACGTGGCAGAAATGCCCGATCCGTTCGAGCGCTGCGCGCCGTTCCAACCCTCCTCGTGCCTGTGCAGTGAGTTGCGGCTCAATACATCGTCCAAGGTCCCGCTTCCCGCCTGCCGCCCAACCGTAGCCTGCGGCCGAGCAGCAAGCAAGAGGTCCGTCTTTGGTGCCGCCGGCGCCGCTGGCAATGCAACGATTGCGATCCTGTACGGCTTCCAGCGGGAGAGGACGCGCAACAGCTTCACGCGCGCGCCACTCGCATCCTACCTCAAAGACATGACTCTGATCATGCGCCTCGTCCTCAGCCTGCGAGCTGTGGACACGGCACTGCCGATCCAACTGTTGGTAACTAGATGCGGAAACGGCGAAGATTACACACGACGAACTCGTGCTGTGCAGATAGCTCCGCCACCCGGTGTCCTACCAACGCGTGGCCACGTCGAGGCTGTATAGCTCTGCGTCTCACTGTCTCGAGCCTCTGTTGACCCCCCTAAGGCTGGTCTCGGGAGAGCGGCACCGTCGCTTCGAGGCGAGGCTCGCGGCGCGCGGAGTGAAAATTCGCGGCGTGAGCTCGCCCGCGCTACCCCGCTGGGCAAACGCCTGGCACTCTGGTAGCTTCAGCAAGCTTGCGGCGCTGGGCCTGTTGGGCTATGACCGGTAAGTGGGCCTTGCATCGCAGTGGCCACCAGCCGTGACAGCACCAACCAGCCCGAACCCGAACCCACAGTGTCATTGTCCTCGACGTGGACTGTGTCGTGCTGCGGAACATCGACCACTTGGCCTTCGCGCCCGCACCTGGCTTTGTGTATCGTCGCAAGCTCCGCGAGAAGTGCACATCGCGCGCCGGGCTCAAGTGAGCTCGTCCCAATGGATTACAGGTGTGAAGAGCGCCTCTTCATCGCATCTAACCGTGAGCAGGTGGGAGCTCAGCTCTGGTGTGATGGTGCTGCAGCCGGGCGCCACCGAGAGCAACCGTATGCTGCGGCTGATGCGCCAAAGGGCGGAGCAGAGGTGGCGGGCCCCTGGGCCCTTGGCTTCCTCTGGGTCACTCAGGGTGGCCCGATCCCTCCCAGGCACATTGTCGGCGACGGGGGTGACCAGTCCATCTGGCGCATCTTTTGGAGCCGCGTGTTCGAGCTGCCCGCGGCGTACAACGCGTACAAGACGGACGCGGTGCCCTCTTGGAGGCGCGTGAAGGGAGCAGAATCGTAGTTACGTCGCTCTTCACCCACCATGTGCGTATGACAGATCACGATCCGCGGAGTTAAGTGAGACTGACCGAGAGCAGGCACGACATCTTTGTGCTGCACGACATCTGGCCCGTCCGCTGGTGGGCCGGCTGGAGGGCAAAGGCTGGCGCAGAGCTCTTCGACCAGCTGCGGTCGCTCTCTCGGCAGGCGGCGGGCGAGTGGAATATGATGGAGCCTCGTGCGGCAGCCTCGGGCCCTAGTGCCGCAGCATCCCCTCCCCGCGCTGACTCTGCCGCTTCGAACGTCTCTCGAGGGCGGGTGTGCTACCGCAAGGACGTGATCAACGTGTGCGAGTTTGAGGACCAGTGGCAGGGCGAGGGCATGGCCATGGGCGAGGGATAGGCCATACGTGTGTTCGGTGTGTGTGTTTGTGTGTCGTGTGTGTGTGTCCTTCTCTCTCTCTCTCTCCTCTCTCTCTCCCTCTGTGTGTGTGTGTGTGTGTGTGTGCCGTAATGTAAGTTTGTGTCGCTGTCGGTGGCGCGGCGCTGGCGGCAGGAAAAAGAGACCGAGGGCGCGAATGGTCCGACGACGGTACGTATTATGCATCGCTGCCACACACGTCTACTCCCACACCTCGTCCTCCTCCTCCATGCCGTCGTGGCTACTGTCGGCGCGCGCCGCGGCTGCTGCCGCCGCCGCGGCCGCCTCTGTCCCTGGCTTTGAATGAAGTGTCCCCGTCCCCGGCACTGATCGAAGTGCCGCAGCGCTGCAGTCAGCGCACTCTGCGCGCCAGCGCTCCAGCCGCTCGCGATGCGCCACCAGTAGACTCTCCTGCGCCTGCAGCTGCGCTGCGAGCGCCGCGTTGCTGGCGCTCAGCGCCGACGCGCCCTCGCCCTCGGGAAGGCTCCGCCGTTCGTCAGCGGCGCGAAGCGCGTCGCCGAGGCGCTGCACGTCAGAGTTGAAGGCTGCCTCGCACGCCTCGAGCTCGGCGGCATCGCGGCGCTCGACACACGCGGCGACCGAGGAGCGGATGTGCTCGGACAGCACAGCGGCCATTCCTGTAAATAATAAATAGCGCACCCTTCTCCAGGGAGAGATGGGCGACGCACACGAACACAGAGGGACAGTGCGCACCCCGCCCCGCTCGCAGGGCGTGCAGCACACAGCGAAAAGAAAGAAAGAAGAAAGAACCCAAAGCCCAAGGGAGGGATGGGAGGACGGCACGCCGCCACCACACAGGGATTTTAAGGAGAGGTGTGTGGCACACAGCGGCTTCCTGAAAATGCCAGACGCGTTTCTCCTTTCCTCTGCCACCCTCCGGCGGTCAAGGGCCCCGGCTGTCCAAAGCTGGCTGTCCAAAGGATATCCACCTGAAGAACCTCGAGAGAGAGAAGACTGGCGTGGCAGGCGCTTGACGATGGACACCGCCTCCCTCATCGCGTCCGTCCTCTCCGCTGCGCGCGACTGCCTCGCTCACGCCCTCCTCTGGCTTCCCGAAGTCCATCCTGACCTCAGGGAGAAGCCGGAGGGGTTGGCGGTCGCTGGCGCCGCTCTCGTGCCGCTCCTCCTGCTCATCTCTTCGCTGCTTCCCGCGCGTGCTCCGCGCAAGGCCAGCAGCGAGAGCGGCGGTGGCAACAACTGGAAGCGTGCTCGCGTCGTGAAGACCGTCGCGGCAACGCCGCTGCTGGGCCGCTCGCCCTCGCTGCCGCCGCCGACGGCTCTGCCAAGGCCGGTCGACCTCACGGGGTCCTGGGTCAATGTGTCGATCCGCGGCGACATGCACGCGTACATGGTCTCGATGGGCGCCCACTTCCTGGTTGGGTCCTCTAGATAAGCCCGCCGCCGTTTCTCTGCCTGGCGCCGGCCTGTCTGGGGCGTTCCCTTCGTTTGCACTGCGGGCGCCCCGAGCTCCTGTGACGGACGGCGGCGCCTGCCGCGTGTGCAGGTGCGGCAGGAGGCCAAGGCGCAAGAGTTTGGCGTCGGCAAGATGCGAAACGTCATCTCGCGGCTTGCCTCCAGCTGCGCAGGCTGCCTCGAGGAGAGGAGCTCTCTCTGAGCCGGGCTCTGGACCGCCGCACAGGCAAAGCAACCTCCACCTGCTCATCGAGATGAACTTCCCCTTCGTCCAGTCCATCGAGCTCGAGCTAGACGGGTGTGCCACAGAGAGGCAGCAGAGAGGCAGCAGAGAGGCAGCAGAGAGGCAGCAGAGAGGCAGCAGAGAGGTTGTCCAACGCCCACGCGCCAACACCGCCCACACCGCCCATACCGCCAACACCGCCTCGACGCTCTGCGCGACCCGCCTCGGCGGGCCTGCGGTCCCTGAGCTGCGCACCTCGGAGGCGCTGCGCCCCCTCCGGATGACTCCCCCGAGACCCCGATCTGCAGGCGCGAGCGCGAGTACGGCACAGACCCCATATCTCCCCATATCTCCCCCATATCTCCCCATATCTCAGGCGCGAGCGCGAGTACGGCACAGACCCCATATCTCCCCATATCTCCCCCATATCTCCCCATATCTCAGGCGCGAGCGCGAGTACGGCACAGACCCGTTCGGACGCTCGCTTCGCTACTGCGCCCGTTGGGAGGGGGCCGAGCTGGTGTCCACCACCCCCCGGGCACCTCGCAGACACCTCGCAGACACCTCACGGACACTTCAGAAGACACATCGCAGACACTTCGCAGACACTTCCTCGCCGCGCTGCGACCGGGGCACCTTGCAGCACACCACAGCCCTGGCACCTTGCAGCAGCCTCTCGAGTCCTACACATCCCCCCCCCCCCCCCCCCGGCCCAGCGCTCTTTGCCACCCCTCGGCCCTCCACCCACCAGGCGGGCACGCGCGTCACCCGCGTCTTTGCGCGCGAGCAGCCGGGGACGCGCGCGCTGCGGTATTGACGCCGAAAGGTATTGACGCCGAAAGGTATTGACGCCGAAAGGTATTGACGCCGAAACGACCGCGCAGCCTTGTTTGGGCGCCTGCTGCCCGGACGGCGGGTTTCGCGCAGCATTGGTCAATGTGACTTGCGCTACTGGAGCGGCGGAGCCACCCTCAGAGTGAGCGTCGTATCGGAGGGGGATGCACGGGCGGGCCGTGCCGCGCGCGTGCGCGGTGCTGCGGTGTGTGTAAACGCACGTACGTACGTTCACACTATATGTACGACAGTACGAGTCGGTGCGCGGGCAGCGAGCTTTCGGATTCGGTGCCATTTATTTACTCGAGCCCCGGTCAGCGCGCGTCTGTAGTTTGCGACTCTGGTACTTGGCACACCGATTCTGAAGACTCGAAACCCGTAGGAGAGAGACACACGCATGCGAAAAAACGGATGGGGAGAGGGAGAGAGTGGATAATAGCGGGGCAGACACACGTGGACCCTCGATGGGACACACACTGCACTGCTACGCAGATAGGCGAGCGCGGCCCAGCAGGTGTGGCAGCCAGGGGCTTCACTCAGACAGAATAAGGGCGCGGCTCACCACAGCCGCGGCGACGAGAGGGAGCGGATCTTGCTGCTGAGACGACGGAGGCGCGAACTCCGCGAGGGGCCTGGAGAGCTCTCCGCGCGCTCGGACAGCTCGGACTCTGTCGAGTCCTCTGCGGGCTCGGACTCTCCCAGAGATTCTCCGGATGAAGCCGACCGCAGGCCCGACTCCAGGTCGTCCAGCTCCATCGCTGATGCCCTCAACGCGCTCCGCTCCGCTGGGGCTGCCGGGCTCGACTCCACGCCCATCATCACGTCCGCCAGCCGGTCAACGATTCTGTCGACCATATGACCACGTTTGAGCGCGTCTCACAGGTTCTACACACTTGTGCAAGGTCACACGCCGTCCTGCCTTGCACCTTGTGAGCTTTGAAGTAACGCTTCGCCATTTTCTTCTTCTCTTAGAGGTAGCCGATGAGAAGTGTGGGCTCTACCCTGCGCTTCTGTGGTGGGCAATCCGGCCTTCCTCCAGCTGCCCCCTCCTCCTCCGGGGATGCAACCGTCGTGGGTCCAGATTCCGCAGTGGGTCGCCATCAGTGCGCTGCTCCCCTTCAGTGAGCCCGAGCCCGCTGTGGCCACCCACTTTGACAGGCTCAGCGTCTTGCGGCTGGCCGTATTGGCCGCGGCTTGGCGCCGCATCCTCGGCGCCTTGTCCGACCTCGGCGTTTTCAGCACGGTGCACGTGGATGAGGATGCGTTCCGTACGGTGTGCATCCAGGCTCTGCACTCCCGCCAAATCCCGGTGCCCGAGCTCTATCTGCAGTGGGGCGATTTGGGGTACTCTGAGGCGATCACACCCTTGGTGCCCCGGATTCATCTATCCGTTGGGCCCCGGTACATTCATTAGAACTGATCACTTTGCGCAGCAGCCGTCCCTTCGCCGACTGGACGGCAGTGCGCTGCGTTGTCGCTCTGTCGTGCACGCTCTCGTGCCTCGTTGTTGTGACCCACCCTGTCCCACCCGTGTGTGATCAGTGTCTACGGAGGGAGTGTCTTCGGCTCACGCCAGGGCGCTCGTTGCTCCTCCGTCTCTTTGTATCTTCCATACTGCATTTATCAGAAGACCGAAAGAAAGAAAACAGACCGCGGTACGATAGTGGGCCCACCGGCGAGCCGGAGGGCCGTGGCCGGAGGGCCCCGGGGGGGGCTTGGGGTCAGTTGTCGGAGGAGGCGAGAGATGAGCTGACGCGGCCTCTGAGAGCGGAGTCGGGACGTACGGGCTCACCGGGGGAAGGCCAGTCGCAGTGGCAACCGGACCACCGCGACCTTCGACAGGGAGGGCCACGCCTCCCTGAGCCTGGAGAGGAGCCGGCGGAGGGGGGGGGCGAGCCGAGGACGATAGAGAGGCCGCGGGTGCGGGCGCGACTCGTCAACCAGGGAGAGCGGGCTCGACCCCCCGGGGGTGGAACTGGGCGCGACCCAATGCCACCGTTCTCGCCCGGGGTGACCCCGGCCGGGCCGTCGACACTCTCAGAACCGGTGGAGCTGGGAGAGGCTGGCGAAGACGAAAGGCGGCAGCGGAGGAAGCGACACCAACAACGAGGGAAACGACCACACCGGTCGTCGCATAACGACCACACCGGCCGTCGTATCACGTATGACGCTCGGCAAGCGAGCAAGAGAGCGAATCGGGGAGAACCGGAGCCCCGGGAGGACCGAAGGTGGAGCCCCGGGACCGAGGACTAAGCAAGTGTCTGTGTTTGGGCGTGGTGTCCAGTGTAATGTCCACTAGCTCCGAGTAGAGGGGGCGTCCTGCAGTTAATTAAGTGGAAACCCGGTACGCGGGTCCAACCCTCGGAGAACTGTGTTTACTTTAAGGCCCTTGCCCTGCGAACGCGCACCCCCGGGGCTAGGGAGGGCTCTCTAGCCCGTAACCCGATGCCAATCATCCGGCCCGCTGGGTGCGCTTCTGAGCTCCCCGGCCCTGGATGTGCGGTTAATGACTGCACTCCAAGTGCTCCAAGACCCGCGAGGGATGCGAGGACGGCACACGCCGCCTCTCTCACCACCGCGTCATCTGTGTGCTACATGTGCGTCTTCCAGAGAGAGAGAGAGCCGCGCCAGAAGCCACTTGCCCAGAACTTAGGCGAGTCGAATGCGAGTCGGTACGCGATCCATCCGCCCGACAAGTCTTTGCGTGTATGACTCTCGCGCCATGCTCAACCCGCACGATGCCGCTGGAGCACAGTTTCCCAGCAGCGGCGAGGTGACTGGCAATGCCCACCACCCAACCGGGCCCGCCTTTTACCTCCAAGAGCACGGCGGCTTTGACTTTGCGAATGTGGCCGAGGGCCTCCGTGAACGCGGCCAGTCGGCAGATGACGCACTGCACGTGGGCACCACAGTTGAGCTGAATTTGCTGCCCGCGCTGTCTACGCACCCGCTGCGAACGCTCGATCCCGCCAGCGCGCAGGTGCACGTGCTGGCGGCGCTGCCCTTTGCCTCACACGTCCTCTCACTGGCTGAGGGCGACCCAAGCTCCCACGTGCGGCGGATGATGGCTTTTGCGTATGAGCTGCGAAAGAGCCGCGCGTTCGTTGAGCATCAGATTCCGTTTGTCCTTATATACCCGCACTCGAACCCCACGCTGATGGGAAACGAGGCTCTGGCCGCACTCTCCCTCGGCAGCCTCATCGTGGCCACCTCGGATCCGGTCTTTGCCCGTCCGACCCGGCACGAGCTCGCTTCTGCAGAATTCCATCAAGCATATCGAAGGGGAATCACGATACCCTACCTTGGGTCACGCAATCAGGCGGCGGCGGTTGGCAGGAAGAGAGCAGGCCCCGTGGGAAACGACGCGTGGGATAAGTTTCAGCGGCGCTTTGGCTACAAAGCTAACCCGACTGGCATCGCGACAGCCCTGCTGCGTGAGCTGGGCGTGCGCCTACCTTCATGCCACGCACCAGCTAATGGTGGCCTTCCCACCAGGCACCGCAGCTTGTGCCCCTATAATCCGGCAGCTGGCGGCCAGGCGAGCCGGAGGCTGTCCTTGTCCAGCGGCGCCGCCGGCCTACGGGCGCGCATCAGCAGCCTCGGCCGCACGAACGGATCGGTCAACGAAAGAAGGAGTCGACGTGCAAGCGCGGCCTCTCCTCGCCGTTCCCTACCCTCCCAGCCGGCACCGCTGCCAGTGCGCCACGCGGTGCCGACGCAGGCCGTCGCGCGGGTCGCGACCGTGCATCGGCGGCTGGCGCTCGCGGTGGAGATGGGCGCGCAGATTGGGTGGTCTTTGCTGCTGCTCTCCCTTCTGCTCATCGTACCAATCGCATGGGCCATCCTCTCCCCGCCCCGGGACGACTACGACGAGCCGCCCGCACCCACAGACGGTAACGAGGAGCCAACTTCCCCACGATCGCCCCTTTTCAGAGCCAAAGAGACACGATCCGACGAGACAAAATCGTGAGGTTGCGCTCCTCCAGCGTGGTCTCCACTTGGCGGGCTTTATATCAATCAACTCGGGGTCACGCATGCTCCGAGAGAGATACTGTGCCTGTGTAGCGCCGCGCGCTGTGAGCTCTGTGAGCTCTGTGAGCACCAGCATTTTTTCTTGTTTTCCTGTGTGCGTACCGGTTACAAGACAAAAAGAGGAGAACACACGGCAGAGAACATGGCTGTCTTTTCCTCCATTCGCCAGCATGCCCACCTCTCGCCATCTACGGCAGCCTCAGGCGGCTCAGCGGCGTAAGCACTCGCAACCCTCGTCGCCAGCCGCCTTGACGGCCACGGGGCGGCTCGGCGGCAGCGCCGGCGGAGATCACATTCAGGAGGGACACGGGAAAGACCAACATTACGAGCACGAGCAACAGCAGGCGAGCAACGATCATGGTCAGACGCCGCTGTGGCTTGAGCGGGCACGATTCCAGTAGTGCGTCGTCCCTCATTGTGACCACCCCGCCCGCGAGGGCGCTGACAGCAGAGCCGCGCACATCCTCTTCCGCCTGCAAGAGCGAGGCGGAGTTGGTTCGCCTCCGCTTGATGCCGGCGCTAGTCGAAGTAGATGCCGGCGCTAGTCGGAGTAGCTGCCTCCTAGCGTCGCTCAGCCACGGCGGCTCATCTCCTGCCATCACATCATTGCTCGCCACTTGCTCTTCGTCCGGCTTGTACGGCTCATAAGGCTCGTACGGCTCATAAGGCTCGTACGGCCCCCCGTCGTACACTGCGGCGCCGCTCATAGCCATCGAGCTAAGGAGAGCAAGCTCATAGCCAGCTGAGCCATCCCGTTCCTCCACAAACGCCTCGTCCTGATCGTCCCTCTCTTGAGCTGCCGCGATCTCCTCCTCTTCCCAAACCTCAGATGTCACAAACGCATGAGGGGGGAGCAAGCTCAGCAGACGAGCGAGCTCCCCTCGCCGCTGCTCTGGTCGATCTATTGGTGGGGATGCAGGGCGAGAAGGCGCCGTCGACGTGGCGCGAGAGTTTGAACGTGACGAGGCTTCCGCGACAGACGCATGAGACCGTCGAACCCAGTCGCCAGAAGTAAGCGCGCGACGCATAAATACTGCGATTGCTGCTGCTGGAGTAAGCGCGCGTCAGTTCGCGCCTCCCTCGCACCAGGGTAGTATTTGGGGGCGCGCTCAAAGTTTTCATTCAGTTAATCGCTTTTCATAATGAACGCGAAGAGGCGCGTCCTCATAGCGTCCTCCCGAACGGCTCCAATTCAAGCGACAGGCCCTCGCCTCTTCAGTCGCCACGCGCCACCGTAACTAGGAGAGCAGTACTCGTTTGGCACCTGTGGTGGGGTAGGACACACCGGCGCACGTCGGCAGGGGAGGAGTGTGTGAGAGGATGAAGGAAGAAAGAAAACGGACAACCCAAGGGAGGCTAAATGTATGTATGTACAATGAGAGAGGACTCGAGATGTGTTCGAGATTTGGGCGGTCGTGCTTTTCGGCGGTCGTGGAGGTCGTGGAGGTCGTGGAGTGGCGAGTCACGCTCGGGCGGACAGCACTGATGCCGTCGCCGGACGCGGCGGCGAGGCACACGGGCGCCGGCGTGGCGCGTCGGCAGGCCCACCACGAGCGGATGCGCGACGAGCGCGCTCGGGAAGCGGCCGCGGGTGACGCGGAGCTTCCGCCGGAGGACGACGCGGTCGAGATGGCGAGCGCCGTCCACGTGCTGGACAGCGTGGCGGAGGTGGGCCCGAACTACACTCTGCTGCGCAGCAAGGAGACGAAGGCGAAGCGGCGGAAGCGAAAGCGCGAGGATGCCAGGGCGGCGCTCGACGGCCACACTGTCCTGTCCACCGGATCGCGCCTCGAGATCTTCTGCGACAGCGAGCGGTGGTACCCTGCGACCGTCATGGCGCGGGAGGAGGACCGGGACGGACGGATCGTGCACGAGGTCGAGTACGACGGCTACTCGGATCGGCGGTGGTGGCACATGCTGGACGACGAGCGGTGGCGCGCCGTCCCAGAGCAGGCCGGCGCGGGCGCAGGCGGCGCTGCCGCAGATGGGGATGGGGATGTGGCGATGGACCGCGTGGACGGCGAGCATGGCGCCCGTGCCGCGGGCGACGCCGAGGCGGCCGAGGTGCGGCCGGCGCCGCCTCCTGTGCGCCGGGGCGTGCGGCGCAGCGCGCTGGCGGACGCCCTCGAGGCGGAGGATGACGAGCAGCAGGACGAGGCTGCGCGTGGCGATGGGCGGCCGATGCTAGCGCCCCACGGGCCGGCGCTGTCGGCGCACCTTATTTTTCACAATAGGAGACAAAAAAAGAAATGGCCGCGCCGGATCGGACCGCCGCAAGCGGCGTGGCGTGGAGCGGTTGAGCATCCCTCCGGGGGGCCCTCTGCGCCGGGGAGGCGTTGTTGGAGGCTAGGACGCAAGCGTCCGTCGCCTTTTTCAAACTCGGGTCCCACTCCGCTACGCTCCGACCCGAATTTGGAGGGCCATGAAATTTAGGGTGTTGCTGCGCAAAAGGGGCGGGGCGCGGGCGTTTGCGGCGGGCCGAGAGCTCTTTCTAGAGATCAGACCTTTCGATGGTTCATGTGCTTTCTAGAGAGAGATTTTTAGCATATCTATCTACGTCATGTTTCATGAGGCACGACACGCGGTGGTGGAGCTGGTGGAGCTGTCAGCTGATCGATCCAAGCGGGTGGGGAGTGGGGGGCATGGCTGGGCATGCAGGTTCACAGCTGCGAGGGCCAACCAAGGGATTCGGTGGTATCTAATGATATAAGGGCCCAGCGAAGCGCCGGACGGCACACGCCACCAGCGGAAGTGCCCCCAGAACTCGCGGACCCGAGACTGCCGCTCTCGGCACAGCAGAAACGCGAGCGCCGCGCCGCGCAGCGCGTTGCCGAGGCTCAGGACGCGGCTCGCGGGCAGCGCAAACCGCCCGGCGCCGAGCCGGTGCTAGGCCGCCTCCGCTGCGCCTGCTTCCTTGCGCGCCGCTGGACGTCGGCCGAGAAGACCGCTTCCCTCTGGGGACCCGACTCCGCGAAGATCGCGCGCGCGTCGTGAGTGGCGGCGCGCGCGCGATCTCCGTTCCCGGGCACGCCGGTCGCAGTGGCATGGGATCCCAGGCTCAAAAGCGCTCCCGTCAACAGCGAGCGAGCGCCGCCGCTGCTCCTCCTCCCGCCGCCGCTCACCGAGACTCGGTGCCGCCGTTCTCGCCGCCGCCGCCGCCGCCGCCGCCGCCGCCGCCTCGCGCCTCGCCTCCGTCACCGCCGCCCTCCATCTCGCAGCGGCGCGTCCCTCTGATGGCGCGGGCGCCTCGCTCACCGGCGCCTCGCCGCCGCCCCCCCCTCTTCTCGCGCCGCTCCGCTCGTGGCCGCCGCCTCCCCTGTCAATCCCGCCGCCTCCCCTGTCAATCCCGCCGCCTCCCCTGTCATCCCGCCGCCCGCACCACCGCCGCCACCGCCTCGCGCCTCGCCGCCGCCGCCACCGACCGCCCTCCCCTGCGCCGCTGAGCGCGGTGCAGGGGGCGAGCCCCCGCTGCGCAGCCTCACCGCAGTGCACTGCGCTCTCCGCGCCCCTGACGATTAGTGAGAAGGTGGTGTTGCACAGCATGGAGCTCGGCGAGCGTTTAGCGAGCCCCTCAGCTAGTCCGTAAAACGCGAATTTTTTTCTGCGCTGTGTCGTCCCTGTGTATGCCCGTATGCCCGTCCACGGAAGTACAGACGACGACCTAGGAGGTGCCCTCGATATATGAGCCGATGTCCTCCTTCTCCTCACCGGCCGGCCGTCGCGACGCGGAGCACAGGAGGGCATTCTCGGTCACCGCGGCGCACCTACTCACGGAGGAGTTTGTCGCTCTCAGCTCCGAGGCGGAGCTGCAGCGAACGGGCTTCACGCTGCGAGACCGGGACTCGAGCAGTGAGCACCTTCGGATCCACTCCCTGGTCGAGCTCGAGTTCAAGCGGAACTACATCACTCCGGGCGGCAACCAGCTCCGGCGCGTGGCGAGGGATAAGGCCGTGCTAGGTCCAAATAAGATCGAGCTCCCGATCAACGCTCAGGGAGACCTGAGCGGCCGCTGCTCGCCGGGAGTGCGCCCCGAGTCTGACAACAACAACAAGCCGCCAGCGGCGGCCGTCGTCCGGCCTCCCCGCCGCGCCACGAGCAGCGGCGTCGGGCCTCCTCCGCTGGCGATGCAGCGGAGCGCGGCAGCCTCCACGATGATGCCAGCCATGGCGGAGGAGGGGCCGGCGGCGCGTGGGATCCCTCCGATCAAGCCCGAGGAGCTGCGGACGTACCGCCTCTTCTTCAGCTCCCTCGCCGCCGCGATCCAGAGCGATACGATTGGCCGCGCGCAAGCGGAGCCCGTCCTCGCCAACACTCAGCTGCCGCGCGACGAGGTCGACTACATCTGGTCCATCTGCGACGGCGACGGGGACGGCGCCATTTCCGCGGACAGCTCGCCGAGAGCTGTGAATCGCTGCTCAAGAGACGGATGATTATGATAGGCCGCCTCCGGGCGGACGAGCTTGCAATCGCGCTGCACATCGCCGCCGCCCGCTTCGGAGGGTTGCCCCTCCCCCAGCCGCGGCCGGTCGAGCAGTTTGTGCTCGCGCTTTTCCCGCCGTCGGAGAGGGCGAGCGCCGCCGCCACGATCGCCGCAGGGAGCGAGCGATTGCGAGGCGGCGGCGAGGGCGGCGGCGAGGGCGGCGGCGAGGGCGGCGGAGGCGAGGCGGGTCCGTCGCGCCGCGGCTCTTTCGACTCTCAGGCGAGCCTGGCGGAGCGAGGCGAGACGAGCAGAGGCGCGAGCGGGCCCGGCAGCAGGCGGGTGAGCGGGTCCGCGTCTCCGCGGTCCGGCCACCGCCGCAACGCCAGCTACGGCAGCGGCGGCGCCGGTCCGGGCAGCCGCGGGGACGACTGGCTCGTCCCGTCGCTGCCTCCCACGCCGGCGGAGCTCGACGCCGTGTCGGGCATGGCACTGGCCGACGAGGCTGGCACGCCGCTCGCCAACGCGCTCTACTACGTCAGGCTGCTCACGGCGGAGCCGACGTGGGAGGACCTGTCCGGCCTCGAGCGGACCCTCGTGCGACTGCCCACCGACTCGGACGAGTGGCTGCACAGCTTCCTCGAGCTCGACGGGCTGCAGGGCCTCCTCGACGTGCTCTCGCACTCGCTGCAAAAGGCGAGCCGGCCGAGACACGGCGGCCGACCGCTCATTCGAACGGGTTCCATGACCGCTCGTTGCGGTGGCTAGGCGACCACGACGGCCGACGACACAACGCCAGACGACTTGCGCGTGCAGGGCCGCTGCATAGCTTGCGTCGCGCTGCTCGCTTGCCGCCGCGTCGCCCTCACCAGGCTGCTCGAGGAGAAGGGCGCCGTCAACATCATCGTTGGTGCCGTCGACGTGCGGTCGCGCCGCGTGCAGCAGCAGGTCCTGCAGGTCCTCCTCCGCATCGTGTACCAGCCCGCGGGCACGCGGCTCGTGCTCGACGCGCTGGACCTGCTGCGCGACGAGGACGCCGGCGAGCTGCGGCTGAAGCGGCTCGAGGTCTGCTTCCGCAACGCGGCCGACCTCGAGTACGCCCTCGGCATGCTCCGCCTCTTTTGCGTGATGCTAAACGGGCCCGCGCCGGACGGGGTGCAGCGCGAGGTGCTGCTGGAGCTGTCGAGCCTCGACGTGCTCACCACGGCGGTGAACCACCCCTTCGCCATCGAGCCGCCGTTCGCGCAGCAGCTGCGCCTGCTCCGCTCCGCCATCGAGCGGCTCGCGCCCTCCACGCCCGCGCGGCTCGCTCCGATCGAGCCGCCGGCCGCCCTGATGCAGCGGGCGGCCGAGCCGGCCGTCGGCGGGAGCTCGTCGACGCTCGCTTCGCTTCGCGCCTTTATCGAGCGAGACCTGACCCTCGCGCGAGCCGAGAGCGCCATGGGTGGCGGCGGAGCCGGTGGAACACTCGGCGGCGGCAGCGGGGGGCTGGGCGGTGGCGGCGGCGGGCTGGGCGTAGAGGCGACGGACACGGGCGGGTTCCGCATGCGTGCCGGCGGTGGCGCCCGCCTCGTTGAGCAACGTCTCGTCGAGGCCCTCTCCTACGGGCGGCAGACCGACGGCGCCGCCTTCGCCTCCAACCTGCAGCAGCTGGGCGCCCTCCTCGGTTCGGACGAGGCGTTCGGGCGAGCCATCCGGGCGCTCGTCGAGAGAGGAGTCGCGCACTCGGCCGCCGACCGGCACTCCACTCGGCTGCAGCCACCGGTCGTCACGGAAGCGGCGTCCCCCCCGCCGCCGCCGTCCGAGGCGCTGACACCGCCACCGCTGACTGCGGCGGCGCCGCCGCCACCGCCGCCGCCGCCGCCGCCGCCGCCCCCAGCGCCGCCGCCCCCCGCGCCCCCGCCCCCGCCCAAGGCTCCCGGCGCACCCGGCGCTCTGGCGGCCAGCGTGCCCCGCCTGCGTCCGCTGCACTGGCGGAGGCTCCCTCTGTCGGACGTCGAGGCCGAGGGCGCCGCGTGGGCGGCGGTGCGAGAGAAAGCGGCCGCGGTCGACCTGAACCTCGAGCGGCTCGCGAGCCTCTTTGGAGAGAGGACGGCGCCGGCACGGCAGTCGGGCGGGGCGGCGCGCAAAGGGCCGGCGCGGGCGCGGCAGGGAGGCGGCGACGGCAGCGCCCCATCGTCGCAGCCGCGGGGCGGAGAGGCGGCGGAGAGCGCCGAGGTCTGCCTGCTCACCACGACCCGGTCGCAGCACCTGCTCATCACGCTCAGCCGCTTCAGCCGCGCGGCCACGATGCGCGGCGGTGAGGTGGGAGAGGGCGGGCCGACGATGCTGGTGCTGCGAGCCGTCGTCGAGCTCGACCCGCTGGTGCTCGCGGCGGACGACCTGCCCAAGCTGCTCTCCTGCCTGCCTTCGGAGGAGGAGGAGGCGGCGCTCGCCTCCTTCGGCGGCGACCCGCTCACCCTCGCCACGGCCGACTACTTGCAGTGGCGGCTGCTCAAGCTGACGCGCACGCGGGCGCGGCTGGAGGTCTACCTGACCGCCACCACCCTCGAGGCGCAGTGCCGCACGCTCAGCCGGCAGCTCGACCACGTCTGCGCGGGCTGCGAGCAGTTGCTCCACTCGCCGCTGCTGCTCCACACGCTTGGTCTCATCCTCGCCCTCGGCAACGCGATGAACTGCCGCTCGGCGCGGCTCGGCAGCGCGGGCGGGTTCGGGCTCGAGATCTTGGCGTCGCTGATGGGAGTCAAGGCGACGCCGGTGCCGCCGCAGGGCGGCGGCCCTCCCGCGCAGACGACGACGACGCTGATGCACTTCGTGGCGCGGCAGCTGGCCGCGCGCGGCGTGAAGGCGGCCGAGCTGAAGGCGGAGCTGCAGAGCGTTCCCAACGCCGCGAACGTCGACTTCGAGGAGACGGCGCGTGAGTGCGAGGAGCT